CAGCTCCCCCTCCACCACTCCCAAAAGCCCTCTTCTCCAATGGGCCCAGACTTCCAAGTGTCATCCTGTCTTCCATGTAAGCATCATTAACACTTAGCTATCAAGTCTGCATCACTCACTGCTCACTTTGTTATGTACAAGCCTGGTCTTTCCAAATAGATTGCCTTTAAGAACAAAAACTGAAAAACCTTTCATATCTAGTGTCTGATACAGATCCCTATTTACTGAACATTAATTGATACTGATTGTAAAAATGGACCTGATTGCTCCATTGATGTGATGGGATGACTTGTAAAGATATTTGAAGTCCTAACCCCCAGAACCTTAATTATTTGGAAACAGTAATCAAGTTAAAAGGTCATGCTCAGCCCTATGTAAAGGGTCTTCAGCTCTCTTTGCCACATCTACTGCAAGAATGAAGACCATTCTCAGCAATCAGCATGTGGACATCTCAGACAATATCACTGTCACTCTGAAGGGACATACAGTTATTGGGAAGGGCCCCAGAGGGACCCTGTGGGGGGCTTCAACCACATCAATGTAGAACTCAGTCTCCTTGGAAAGAAAGAGGCTCCGGTTAACCAATGGTGGGGAAATAGAAAAGAAAAGGCCGCTATTTGCACTATCTGCAGTCATGTACAAAACATAATCAAGGGTGTTACATGGAGCTTTCATTACAAGATGAGATCCGTGTATGCTCACTTCCCCATCAAAGCCATTGTTCGCTTGTTGAAATCAGAAATTGGGCGAAAAATACATCCACAGAGTTCAGGTGTTGCTTGTTCAACTTAACATGTATCATATGTTGCTTGTTCAACATAATATATATCAAGCCCAGATATATTTCACTTAACATATATCAAGCCCAGAAAGTTGAGTGGATTTTTGAAGGAAATGACATTGAACTTGTATCAAATTCAGCTGCCGAAACAAGGATATCAGAAATTTGGAGATAGTTCCTATTGTTTCTGAAAAAGGAATAGTTCAGTAGGCTCATGAATAAGATATAAGTTGTCCAAAAAAAAAAAAAAAGAAAAAGACATGTTGTCCAGCTATAGAAACAGCAAGATGTTGAATGATTCCTTAGATTCATTTGCAATATTTAAAAGATGCAGTAAAAGCTATGTATTGATTGGGAGAAGGAGAGGGGTGCTTAAAAAAGGAGGAAATTTGGACACAGAGACAGACATGCACAGACAGAAAACAATGTAAATCCAAAGAGACACAACAGAGGCAGAAGATGGAGTGATACATCTAAATGCCTAAGATTGCTAGCAAACCACCAGAAGCTAGGAGAAAGGCAGAGAACAGACTCTTCTTAGAGGACCTTCAAAGGAACCAACTCTGCCAACTCCTTCATTTTGAACTTCTGGACTCCAGAATTGTGAGACAATAAACTTCTGTTATTTTAAACTACACAGTTTTTGCTACTTTGTTTTGGAGCCCTGGGAAATTGATACAATTGATGTTTATGAAAATGAAAACAGTATTACATAATCAAACCTTCCTAATATGATAAATACTAAAGATAACAGAGAATTAAAATGAGCCCAGTCTGACCTAGAATGAAGCAGCATAAGGACAAAGGAAAATGTCCATGACCCATTAAGTGAAAGAGTAAGTTGCCAATAAATCTGCAGATTTTATTTGGGGGTAGGAGGAATAGCAAACCCTTAATATCAAGTTTGCGTTATACACAGGAAATGTCTAACCACACAAACACATACATACAAACTCTTAACAAGCAATTCATTCTTTCAAAGTCTTTGTAGTAGGAGGATTTTTCTTACTTCCCATAATTTTGTACTTTTAGAAAAATAAGTGGTTCATTTTTTTAACTTTTTTAAAATGTAGAATTCAAAGAAACTGTTTCCAAAAGGTAATCAGATGTTGTATTATTTTTTAACAATACATGCAGTTAAACCTGAGTGATTTAATTCATTTTTTTGTAGGAAAATAGTGTTTTATTTATTTTTTTAAATTTATCTTTATTGTTGAATGCATTAAAGATGCCCCCTTTTTCCCCCCATTG